GAAGCCTGCTTCTCCCTCTCCCACTCCCCCTGCTTGTGTTCCCTCTCTCGCTGTGTCTCTCTCTGTCAAATAAATTAAAAAAATCTTAAAAAAAACCCAAAAAACAAAGAGATCAAGGGGATAGTCAGAGAGAGCGTAATTATTATTACTATTAATTTTTTTTTTAACCTCAAGCTTTTGGCTTACATGCAGAATTATTCAGAAAACTGAACACTGCTAATTCCAACTGAACTTGATTGGAATCAGTTAGCTGAAAGATTTGGGAAATTCTTGCTGGACGTCTTATTGAAATTAGAAAAATAAATCTGTACCTACATGTGGTAAGTTTCCATGGCAAATCAACAACCAAGAAAACACTTTTCATAATTAAAAGAGTATGTGCTCCTATAAAGAGCTCAGAGTTTAAATGAGGTGTAATCAAAATCCAAGAACATTTGTTTGTGTGTTATGAAATGTTTTAAGGGTGGTCTATTACGAAAAGATATTTTAGTTTTTATTCTTCTAAAATTTGCGTTCAATGTACAATCTATACTCACCATATACTGGATAAGGTGCATACGCTGGATAGTGATATTCATTTTGGTTTATATTGAATTTAAAGCAATGGCTTTAGAACATATTTGGCATTAGGCTTTTAGGCATTTCGGCACTGTACTTTTATTGACTTAAAATGTATACTTCTTCTCTTCAAAAAGTATCTCACACTCTTGAGGGCAGGACAGACTGTCTAGCCCTCTCCATATCTCCTGGGCTCACAGTGCCTTGAGCACAAGAAGGGCTTGACAAATGTTTGTTGATAATTAGAATGATGCTGAGCGTCAGCTCTCTGGGCCCTAGCCTATTCAGCACATGGCACTGGATTCTGAATGGGTAAGAGTTTTGCACATTTTGGAGAAATGGATCATCCTTGTTTGAACAAGCTTCTTAATGCTTGCCATTTAAATTTCGAGCAAATGTTCTCAGGGTTACACCCTTCCCATCAACTTACAGGACAAAGGCATCAAAAAGAAGAAGGGGAATATGCAATTGAAGTCAACAAAATTCACTTACTCAGTGAAAGGCCCAGGGCCAAGTGCTGGAGGGTGCAAGCAGAGTTCACAGTGACTGAGCACTTGCCATGTGCTCGACACTGTAAGTACAGCTGGGAGGTCTCTACCCGCATGGACTCCATAGTACACCTGATCGGGCTCCGCCCCCCACACGAGGCCTTACACTCTGGACAGACTTCCTCTTTTCCTCCCTTTTCCCCCTGTGCACTCCTGCCCACCCCCACTGCCAACCTGGAGGAGGGAGGGGAAGAAGGAGCAATAGATCTGGTTTTTAAAGTTGGGCTTAATTCCAGTAAGAGGCAGACTTTGCAGCAATAAATTTGAATTTTTATCAAAAATTATCTTCATAGGTTTTGGAGCAGGATGCCAATCTTCTTGAATGAATGCTTCGATAAATCTGTCTTGATTTTCAAATTTATTAACAAAACTCATTTTCATTTTTATCGGCATCTTAGTTTTGCTCCAGCAAACTCCGTTTCCCCTTTAAGAGTCAACTGATAAGGAACAGTGAGCTGCCTGCCCAGAATTAGATGGTAGTGAGGACAGTAGTGGGGAACTCTCTAGCCAAAGACACATTGCGGAGTTATTACGTGTGGTAAAAGGCAAAAGTACAATGAAATCTTCTTCATAACCAGAAAAGCAGAGATATGCTAAAAGACACGGATTTAAAACTAAATAAATAAATAAACCCAAGCTATCACATAAGTCCTCACAAAAAAATCCTGTCCTTTCTAGAAACCGAAGTCGACTCTCTCCGTCTCCCCCTCAGAAATAAAACCCATGCAGGTTGGTCTCTGCTCTAGGAGGAAGTGAAGAGCAAGGGAGGCCGTGGTGGACCCACCTCACGCATCCTGCAAGGAGGTGGCTTTGCCACAGTCCTCTAGGGCAGGAGGCTCCACGAAGGATGTTCTCCCCTGGAATTCCCAAGAAGTCTTGGGTCACCCACTGACCGGGAGGTTGGAGGCCAAAGCTCACTGTTTGAGCAGAAAGGAGGACGGCAAGGGATTCTTTAAAGAATAGAGGCGTTTACTTCTAGGTCAGCCCTTGGCAATTGCCGCCAGTGAATCAGAGCACTAGGTTTTGAGATGTCTGCTCCTGGGTGATGGACAGATGCCAGTTTGCACCTAAAATGAATGCGGAGTCGCCTGATGATACCGCTGAAAGGTGTGTTTCCCTCAGGCTGCAGGGCCTCAATCCCTCCCCTTCCAGCAGCCGTTTGCAGGGATCCGGCGGAAGCTTGGTCAAAGTACCAGATGGGAATTCTTGTGGTCAGGTGATGTCCCTGAATATGTTGGGCTGAAAGAAAAACAGCTGCCAGCCTTTCGGCGGGATCTTCAGGGCCCAGAGGAATAAAAAAGGTTAGCTGCTTCCCCTCCCCTCTAATTGGTCCTGAGCTTTCCCCCATAAACCACACGTTGCGTTCTCTGGTCCATCTCATTTTTGAAAAGCACGAAAAAGATTCTGAACTCCCAGGAACCTGGCATTTGAACTCCAGTTCTTCCATCTCTTCCCCGGCACTCGGTATAGAACATGCTCCGTGCTGTGTTCATTCATGCCGCTGACCAAGCAACAAGCCTGGAGAACTCAAAGTTCAGCTCCTGCTTAGGCTCTTACCAGATGCCTGGGGGGGAAACCAACAGAGATCTGGGAAGCAGGCTCTCAGTGAAGCTTGCAGAGAGGATCTCGTGTCCCTGCTGAGCAAACAGAACTTTGAGTTCTTCTGCAGCAGAGCTCAGGGGCTGATCCTGGGGGTCTGTGCTTGCTGCCATGGTCTGTAAGACTTCCCATTGGAGCTGACTGTTCTGAGTCATTCTTATTCTTGTCTTCTTCCGAGCAGACTATGAAACTTTACACATTCCTTACTTGGGAAATTGATAACTTGTTTAAAAAGAAATGTCACCCCCAAATTAAAAAAAAAGCCACGGGTTCAAATAAGAATTTCTGATGGATTCAGTTCTTTTCTTCTACACCTACCTTATAAGAATGTTAAAGATCCAAGTTTCATGTAAAGTTGCCCCTCATCTAGAAACTTCAGAAATGATGAAAGCTTTCTTGAGGGGAAAAAACAATTATTTATTTATCAGAAGATCTCATTAAATTTAAGATATTCACATTAAAACTCGCTCTTTTCTTTTGATAAATGAAGGTTTGCCGAATAGAGATTGCTGTCCTCAAATAAGCAAGTCTAAGTCCAATAATCAAGCAGCCCTGAGAAATCTCATATCCACTTAATCAGAGACATACATTGACACATAAATGCTAGGTTCATTTTTCAGACAAAGGATGTATGGCTTCAAAAAATAGTGCCATGGTGCCTGCTTTTATGCTAAGCTTCTAAAAGATTTAAATGAGTGGAATTTGAGGATGAAAGGGAAATTTTTTTTTTTTTTTTTTTTTTTAAGATTTTATTTATTTATTTGTCAGAGAGAGACACAGCGAGAGAGGGAACACAAGCAGGGGGAGTGGGAGAGGGAGAAGCAGGCTCCCCGCAGAGCAGGGAGCCCGATGCGGGACTCGATCCCAGGACCCTGGGATCATGACCTGAGCTGAAGGCAGTCGCTTAACCAACTGAGCCACCCAGGCGCCCTAAAGGGAAATTTTCTAAGGCACTGGTCCTGAAACTTTAACATGCATCAGAATTTCTGGAAGGATTTAAATCACAGATTGCTGAATCTCACACCCCCAACACCTCTGCCTCCCCTAGAGTTTCTGATTCCTTAGGTATTGAGTAGGACCCGAGGATTCACATTTCTAAGTTCCTAGGTGATGCTGATGTTGCCGGGCTGGGGACCACACTTTTAAGAACCACTACTCTAATGAAATTAAAGTCCTTTCTGTATCTGCCTGATGCAGAGCATTTTCTTGTGATCCTCATTTACGCCCCTGGCCCTCACTAAACCCTGGAGAAACAGAGCGCTCTGACCACTTTGCAATCTTGCTGACCTGAGCATGTTGGGATCTTGATTTTGGCTTCTACAAACACATCAGCAAAGATCCTCTGTTCCTGTTCTTGATTTTGTTAAAGAGCCTGAGATGGGTATTTTAGTCATGGGTACATAAGAGGAGACAGGTCAAATCTACGCAATCCCTCTGATTTTCTTTTTTGGAAATGGTGGCAATTGTGGTCCTTCCCAGGCCCCTTAGACAACACTCCTCTCAGACAAGCAGTCTCCTTGGTGTCTCCCACATCTGAGTGAGCATTTATCTTGCCTGCAATACTGAGAGATTAACATCTAATTTGAGGAGAGAGATTTCAATCAGCCTCTCGGGTCAGGCAGAGCACATAAAGCAAGGTTCTCTCTCAGCTTCTCTCCTTTTTACAACTCAAGGAGTGATACTCCTTTCTTGGTACCAAACTGGGCCACCCCTTTGATTACGGGTTAGGTAACGTTTATTGGAAAAATGTTCTAATTCTCCAGCACGTTGGCTCAGAGGCTAGAAAGCTTCTTCCGGGATTAAACAATTTCCACATAAGAAGCACACTGACTGAAACCAAATTTTATGTGTATTTCAGCATCAGCGGTGGCTGCCACGCTCTGGAAAAGGATTTTTATGGGAATAGGCAAATATCCCTAAGAAAAGTACAACAGCCCCAGATCTACGGATGGAGAAACAACTGGAGCAATTTAAATCATCATGTTCCTAAGAAGGAGTTTAAAGTTCTATTAATAAAAGGCAGAGTCACTCAAAGATGAAAGTTTAGTGTAACTCAAATAAAAGTGAGTTACGTGGCCATTCCCAATACCTACACCCCATCTGAGATCTGGAAGAGCATGATGGTGCCTCACAGGGGTGCGCGTGTGGCGGTCGTCAGCATTACCTGATTCATCAACTCGCATTTTTTTAGTAGGGCTGTCACAATTCTCATCATCTGACATTTCCATTTCTTCTTCGCGGCGGATGCCCATGAGCTGCTCACTTTGAGCGTTCCGGAGCTCCTGAAAGCAGAAGATAGGAGGATGTCAGAGTCACAGACACACGTCAACATACCTTTTCCCAGTGGTCTTTCGGTGTATCGCGACTGACATATGAACGCTTAGAATCTGAATTGTTTCCCTCCCAGACACTGCCCTGCATAATCTGGAATGAAGTTCTGAGGGGTGTAGGGAGTGGAAAGACCCAGGGATAAATCCCGGCTCACCAATGACTAGTCAGGGGGTCTTCAGCAAACTATTTCATCTCTTGAGTCTCAATTTCCTCATTTGCCAAAAAAGGGGATAATAACATCACCTAGTAGGATTCCACAGAAATGCCTCCTGCCATGCCCGGCACACAAGGAGGGACTCCCAGCTAATGATAAGAAATCTGCACGATGGCATTTATAAAAGGCCTTGTCGACCACTAACCCACTGTGTAAATTCAGGAATGTTTCTTCGTCTCTCTTAACCTTGATTTACTCATTGGAATACTGTGATAATAATAGTTTTGAGGATCAAATAAGTTAATGCATGCAAAGCTCCTTAGCATTATGCTAGACACTTGGTTTGCTAAGTTGATAACATGGACCATAAGAATTCTTCATGCAAAAGAGTGCCCCCGCAGGGCGCCTGGGTGGCTCAGTCGGTTAAGGTTGCGCATCTGCCTTCAGCTCAGGTCATGATCCCACGGTCCTGGGATTGAGCCAGCATGGGCTCCCTGCTCAGCGGGGAGGTCTGCTTCTAACTCTCCCTCTGCCCCTCCCCCCACTCACGATTTCTCTCTAATAAATGAATAACATCTTAAAAAAAATAGTGCCCTTACATTGTGTGTGTGCACCCATGCGTGGTCATATGCACACACCATTCAGACATCCAAATGGCAAAATGCAAAAGATGCTGGAGGACAAAATAAAACCGATGCCTTCTTTTTGGCGTTTCACATCATCATGTAGTGTTCAGTGTTTTTGTTGTGATGGCTGTTTTGACATCACTGAAAGATCGTAGGATCATATCTTACTTTGTCTACTTACTAGAGGAGTGACTGCAGTCAAAGAGTCTATGTGAAAACTCACTGTAAAAAGTAACGAGTCACAATAAATTTTTTACTCCCTTGCCTAAAAATCAGGACACTCTAATTATTCATGGTAAGTAATTATATTATTTTGTATTAAACTGAATATTGTGTGTGAATCCTTATCAATTCTGTTCTCTCACATGTACTGTCCTCAACAAAACAAAGAGGGGAAGGACTACATTATTCTTTTTCTCCCTACTGAAATTGAAGTCTCTAAATAAAAGCCGAAGAGTTAAAATAATTTTGCTTTATAATAAATCTCTGAATAACAATAAAACTAAATTATAACACCTAATGTATTAATGGCATGATTTTAAGCATAGTTCTAGTGCCCATTTGATGGATGTGCATATTTCATGGTGCTATAGGTTCTCTGAACTCTCCTCTCTCCTTAGCTCTCTCCTTAGATTTTAACTGTAGTGGGACCAAAAGAAAATTCTGTATTGCTAGCAGTATTTGCACGGTCAACTTTGAACCCTGGGAATGAGCACTGCAGAGGACAGGGAAAGGGGAGGGAGGGCAGAGGGTCAAGGTCCCTGGGAGAGAGGACACCCATCACAGGGAGTCTTGAGAGGCCACCGAGGTGATGGGCAATGCCTCCTCACTTGGCCACGCCAGCCAGTGGAAAGAGGTGCCGATTCCGCCGTAAGTAACACCAGTGGCTCTTGGAGGCGGATGTCACGTGTGATTAGTGGGGATGCTTTTAGCTTGTGTACAGCCAATTTTTCTCCTGACAAAGAACCCCGTTCCCAAAGAGGTGGGCCTGAAAATACTAGAAACAAGGAAAAGTCAGGTGGAAAGAATAAAGGAGGCTGAAAGGGTGTGTTGCTGAGTCCCCACAACGAATGACAAACTGTCATACTGTAACTATTCAGTGGAGAAGAGTGTTGGAAAGAAAAAAAAAACTGGAGGGGGAAAAAAAAAGCCAAGGGTGTTTCCACAGGGTGCCTCTGGTTCAGCAGTAAATCGCTCGTACACTCTCATAAATCTGTAAAGGTGTTGCAGATAATTAACAGATGCTGTACATGGGAACGCAGAAAAAAATCAAACCAATTACCAAGCTTATACGCAACAGAGAAATCATCCACAATGTTAAATTACCAACTGGTATTTAATCAATTAAGTGACATGTAGGAGAGAAAATCAAAGGTAATTTAGAATTCTATTTCCTAGAATATCAAAAGAGGTGGTAGGAGTGGCAGAGAGGCACAAAGTCCCTTTGCAGGAGCACCTTTCAAGACCACATGCATCCGTTTCTACTGCACCGTGTGTGCGCTGAGCAAAGCAAGCAGGCTTCCTTGGAACAAAGCAGGATGTTTGCATGCCCTGCTCAACAGCGGGGACCACAGCCCCCGTTCCTCCGTTCCTTCGGGGGATGCAGGGCTAGGGGCAGGGGACCAGGCAGGTGGGAAGCGTGATTTAGATCAATAATGGATATTTTCTAACACTCACATACTAATGGCAGCCTTTTTATGCCCAGATCATTAGCATAATGCCACTTGCATTTCCCTTAACATTTCTTTTAATCATGTTTGGTGTTTATGTGAAGGGGAAAAAAAATTAGATAAGCAATTCATAGACCCATCGTTCCCAAATCTGAATCACAGTTTATGGATTTCAATTTGTGTTTTCATAACCCTCGATTTGTATATTTCATCCTAAATGAGGACTCTCTCTCCTCCCAAAAATCAACCTGGACTCAGGGTCTCGATTCAGTGTCTGAGAGAGCAGCAGGTGAGCACCCTTTGTTTTTCTGGGCCCTGAAAAATTAAGGAGAAATCTCACTTCCTCCTTACTCATAATCCTGAGCATAGGAACAGAACTACATCAGTCACCAGCCACCTTCTTAAGTATTTGTGAACAAAATAAAAAAATGTCCTTCTTAACAATAAATTGCACTAGCATTTTAAGTGTCCCATTATTGTGAAGTCATTCAGTATTCGCTATAGTGAGAGTGATAATAAAGAATTCATTTGGTATTCATGTGGATGTTACATCTAGTTGCCACTGGTATTCAGCTGTAATTTAGCATTAGTTAATGGGCACTTAAAATGCTACCCAACTGACTGATATTATAGTACTTTGTGGTTCCTCAAACTCCATATAAAACACTTATTTTACAAGTGTAAGCCCAAATCGTTAAATAAACAAACCTTACCTTCTATAAGTTTGGGGATTTTGAAAGAGGGGAATATCATTTAGAGAACTTTAATATTAACATGCTAGAGATGGAAAGGCATCCAAATGGAAAACATTCTCTCATTTTAAAAAAAACAAACGAATAAGCAAACAAAGATAGTATACTTACTTTTAAATGACAGGTTCAAAGCGTACACTACACTGTGGAGTTAAAAGTAACAGCTGTACGACCAATGACTAATGACACATTCTGATCTTTCCAGGTGGCAAGGAAGGTCAAGTTCTGGCCTCTTTCCTCGGGGGTGGATACTCACACTTCACACACGCATTGCTGCAGAAGGGTGGACCCTGGCTAGCCTGGACATTTGCGCCCCCGGGGAAAGACGCTCTGGAGAGAGCTGTTACCTACCCGGCTGGCTAGCACATGGGACTAAGGCATTGTTTACGGTGGGAAGGCATAGAAGAAAGGCATACTTGCCGTTTCTAGCCCAAAGAGCAAACCATCATCATCACGTTGCAGAACACTGAAAAAAAAAACCCCTCCGTATTTATTTAAAAAGCCAGTTTTCTATTTTACGTTACACTTTTCTTCAGAATAGGCAGGCAAAGTGTCTTGGCTTATTTCCGAGCTCTTTGCCATGAATGGGAGATGCTTTTCTCCCTTTGCAGGGGTAGAAAAGCACTCTGTTTTCTAAGCATTAAGTCAGCTGCTCTTTTGGATAAGGCACAAATCGGAGCTGGATTTGGAGCTGACGGTGCGACAGGACAATGGCACAACAGCTGCCCGTTATAACAAAAACCCGAAACGTCTGCAGCCACACTATTCTCTGCCAATCCAGCTGTGTGATGGCGGTTAAAAAGTAATAATAAAGTCACCAACCTCAGAATGCTTTCGCCAAATGTCTATGTTCTTGCGCTGAGCTTTCGAGAAATGGTCCCAAGCTTTTTGTCTGGTAGAAGCGTTGAAAACGGCCACAATCTGCTCAACTTTGGTGAACAAGGAAGTCAAACAAGACAAGTAATTTATGTTGTGATCACTATAGGGAAGCAAAGCAAAGACACTAGGAGTCTATGGATGATGTCACAGTAGAAATAACATCATCAATATCCATCCAATTTGTGCCTTTTTGTACTTACATTTTAGCAAGGTTGGGGAGGTCTCCCTTCAAGTCTGTCTCCATAACTTTAGGTTAAAACAAATTCTAGATACAATTGGAAAGAGTTCATGGGCATCTGCTTCCAAGCATTCTGCAGCTCTTGTTTAAAAATGTGACTTGGTATGTCTATATACCTAGATCTATAGATACAGATCTGGTGTTGGCATACAGATCCAGATATATGGATAAAGTAATGCCTGGGTTGGGGGCTTACAGGTGAAGCCGGGGTGGAGTGGCTGAATGAGGAAGAGCCAAACACGTATCTTTTTCTTTTTTGGTCTCCATCTCAAGGATTCAATTGCGCCCTCCAAAGATATTACTATGTCCAAGTTCCAAGCTGGGGCAATGAGTAGTTGCTTCATACTGCCCCTCAATCGCAAGAGCCATTTTTACTCCTTGGCTCCTTTCTCCTTCCTGCCCCTCCCCCTCCCAGCCCCTGCACCCAGTGCAGTCAGCCCTCCAGCCTCCACTTCAAGACAGACCAAGGCTCACCCAACCAGCTGCACAGGCATGCAGATGGAATTTCAACACCACGTGGCGCCCTCTGTAGTTCATCACGACCACATACCATTCTGTTCTGCCATTTTCACTTTCATAAGGCTGCCCTCCCAAACCTTTTGAAGTCCTAACTCTCTCACTTTGACTTCATTTAATACTTTTGTACATTTAGCATATTTAGTACACTCCCAGGCAGAGTGCTACTGGAATGATAAAATGTTGTGGGGCTGTGAACAAAGCTATATAGAGAAAGGGATGAGCTCTTAGGAGTGGATATTAGGGGTGGGGCCAACCAACTGCAGATCCAATCTTGCTTATTCAGTTATTGATCTAATAAGCATGGGATTAAGGAAATTATAGCACTGAATTAACCATATGATTAAACCTGAATTTTTGAATAGTTAGAAAGGCACAGTTAGAATTAGCTTCTCATGGGTGCTAATACTCTATCTAACATAAGTTCTTCTTAAGTGATTCCCAAGGCTCTATTATAAAAAAAGGGCATCAAAGCTCTTCCAAATCTTCCAGGTGTCCAAAGTATGGCAAAGAGTAACAGAATAATCCCCACAGAAGAACAACGCCTGGTGCCACAATTTTAAAAAGTAGCTCACAAAATAAACAAGTGTGTGACGGAGCAGAGGAGGAAAGTAGATGCTGTTCACTTACCATATCTTATAAGGCTAATGAGCAACCACTTCCCAATCAACGCATAATTTTCACAGAGGCTTTGATGTTTATTCTTTTCTACCTTGAGAGAATCCCAACTCCAAACCTCCTTATTTATCAAACTTTATCAGCAGGTCACATGATGAACTGGTTGCACTCAATTTGTAACAGAAGGACGTGCTATCACCTTCACCCACACTCTCCATGCGTACATGTGGCTCCGTTCCCCGACCTCGTCTGGAGGAAGTCACACATTGTGCTGCTCTAAGTGCTGACGCTCACCTGACCACCAGCTCCCAGGCCTCTGCTGGGCTCCACGGCAGCATAGCGGGTGGAAGAGGGCTGGTGTGACCCCCCGCCCGGACTTCCAGTTGTTTCGTCTGCATGCAGGCTGGGGTCATGGAGGACTTTAAGCTACCTTCTGCATGGGCAACACAGAGCAGTCAGCCAGATATGCAGTGGTGAAATCCACGGTCAGGTGAGATTATCTGGCAGGGGTGGTAATCATGAGACTGTTACAGAGTAACGGACTCCACTGCTTTAAGTGTAGAGCTTTTTAACAGACATCATTTAGAAGAGTGAGAACTGTGGTATCCACAGGGGAAGGGGCAGTAAAGATTGAGGCCGGGTATTTGGGTGGTGATAGTCAAAATGCTGCGATCAATCAAGAAAGGCTGTTAATAAAGGGGATACACTAGAGAGAAAATCCCCTGTTCATATGTGTGTGTGGAATAGGGGGAAGGTAAGAGAGGCCAGTAATACCTATGGAAGCATACAGAAGGGAAAGCACTTAGAAGAAAGACCCAATGGCCAAATACCACACAAGTTCAAGGGTAAACATAGATCCTCTAATATCTACTCAAGCCATATACCACTGCAGATGTTTCCTGTCTGAGGCAAGGTGCCTCGTTATTTAGAACATGTTGTTACCAGATCCCAGGGCATACTTTCAATTCAACCACCCATCCATCCATCCATCCATCCATCCTTTTATACAGCGAACATCTGAGATCCTCTAATTACCAAGCACTCGAATGACTGCTAGAAATATAATTAAGACAGTGCTTGTCCTTGATGAGATCACAGTCTCTAGGGAGAAAGAAAGATAAGCAGTTAATTATCCTATGCAAAAGAAGTATGGATGAGGGTATGGGGACGCAGTAACTAACTCAGTAGGTGGAGTCAGGAAACACCCCCCCCAAAGAAGGCATCATTGTTGCTAGGTCTTAAATGACGAATCAGTGCTTGCTCCCCAGTTCAAAGGGTGGTATGGAGTCATGAAAGGACATTGTAGGGTTGGGGCAAATGCTGGGTGAGGATGGATCAGGAAGGACAGTGGATCCTAAGCCACTGGCGAACTTTATATTGTAGCCCTAGGACACACATCTGAGTAGGATTTGTTTGGGAGAAATGATGAAGGCTTGAGTTAAAACAGGGCACAGAAATAGAGGCAGGAGCAAGGAGTCACTTGACGGAGTGAGTTGAGTACAAGTGGCTGACCTATTATGAGGAAGGAGAAGGGGAGGCAAGGATGGCTCAGGCTCGGGAAGTACATCGGAGACGAGGAGGACAAGCCCAGGCGGAGGTCTGAGAGAGAAGGTAAGGAATTTGCTTTTGAACATGGTGAACGTGACATGCCTGAAGGTCATCTAGAGAGAGCTGAAACACATACTGGGGGTTCAGAAAGAAGTCAAGACTCAAAAGAGACAGGCCTTAAATTTTCTGGACTATTCTCAATTTCAGGCAATTGTGTTCTTTTCAGTACGGTTACGAATTAAAAGCAAAACTAAAGGTGGCTAACTTTATACTTCTTAGTAAGTTTTATACTTTCTCCACACATATTAACAAATAATGAAGAACCCCCCAAACACCAAAAACTGTGGAACTCAGCTTAGGTTTAAAAAGTACTCTCACAGTGTTTCCAAGGCCCAGAGTACTTCTCTTATGTCTGCACAGACTGCCCCCAACCAGCCATTTGTCTTGCAAATGAGAGTTCTTGGGCACATAAAAGGACTCAGAAAGAGTGCTTGGATCAGCAGGAATTCATCATCATTAGGGAAAAACCACCTCAAAGAGTATGCCTTAATGAATGTGATTCAAAGACAGCAGATTTTCAAAATCATAAATCAGGACAACTGCTGGCGGTGATATCATGAATAAAGACCGTTCACTTTTTTTTTTTTTTATAAGATTTTAAAAGAGAGCGTGCGCATGAGTGGACGGGGCAGAGGGAGAGGGAGAGAATATCTGAAGCAGGCTCCAGACTCGGGGCTCAATCTCATGACCCTGAGATCAGGACCCTGAGATCAGGACCTGATCTGAAACCAAAAGTCGGAAGCTCAACTGACTGCACCAACCAGGGGCCCCAGCATACACTCTTCATTGTCTCCAGCAAGGAACACCAAAGAGCAAGTCCATGAATTTGACCACCACTCACTACTTCTGGTATATAATTCACACCACTTGTCCTATACACAATAAAACTACAAGTGGTTACTAGCTAAATTGAATGTTTAAAATTCTACCTAAGGGGCACCTGGGTGGCTCAGTCGGTTAAGTGTCTGCCTTCGGCTCAGGTCATGATCCCAGGGTCCTGGGTCTGGCTCCGTGCCCAGCTCCATGCTCAGCGGGGAGTCTGCTTTTCCCTCTCCCTCTGGGCTCTCCCCCTCTCTCAAATGAATAAATGAAACCTTTAAAAAAATAAGTAAAATTCTACCTAAAAGCTCAAGAGAAGAGAGAGTGAACAAGATGGCCTTGGCATTTGTTCAAAAAAGCAGCAATTCAGATCAACCCCAACCAGTGTTGGGAGCATCCCTAGTGGGCTAGAGACTACTAGCTCCGAGGCCCCACTGGAGCCTGGATCAGCTGTACACTTAAGTATTTTTGAAATACTATCAATACAAAGAGATCAGTCAGAAAATTTAAATCTACCTTCACACACCTTGCAAATTTCCCCCAGCCCACTGCCAACTTCTACGTTTTAAATGTTTTGCCTAAATTAGGTTATTTGAGAATCATGAAAAAATTAAAAGTGACTTTTCACCAGTATGTTCGAATGTCCGTCTTAGATGTCATACTAGAGTCGCTAACATAGATCCAGCAGGTATAAGTGAACCTAAGGGAAGGATAATAGAGCTTTGATGAAATTGCTAATCACTCTTGGCAGCTTCAAGCCCCCTGTTAAAAGATAAACTGAGGTCTGTTAAAAATTTGAAGAGTTTATTTGAGCAAAAATCGGTGGAATCAGGCAGTGCCTAACTGGAAGTGGTGAGGGGCGCTCCCCTGCCTGGCAGGAGCTAGAAACAGGCTTTTCTAGAGAAAAGGCAGAAGCAAAGCAAGGAAATCATGGATTGGTCACCGCTTCAAGTCTAGTTGGCTGCTTGTGATTGGTTGTCCTTAGGTTTTGATTTTGTAACTTTTAGGCATTCGTAGGCTTGGATTTGGTTTGCTTATGTATGCCACCACCACATTAGGGCCACTCTGTCTGGGGTTTTCCTTGTTTAATTAACTGAACATCCTACTAGTGATTATTCATTCTCTTGTCCGTGTGTATGTAAAGAGACCCACATAATACACACGCGTATATGTATACAGTCTTCAGAATTTTTTTTAAAGATTTTATTTATTTATTTGACAGAGAGAGACACAGCGAGAGAGGGAACACAA